GAGGGTTTAGGGTTCAGGGTTTAAACAGAAGGGAGATCTCCAGACCACCTCCACCGGCCTGAGCCAAACCGACACTTCAGATACGGGGGTTTAGGGTTCAGGCCTTAAACAGAAGGGAGATCCCCAGCCCCCGTCGACCGGCTTGAGCTAAGGCGAGATTTCACATACGTAAACACAGTTGTACACCATTCTGTCTCAACCATCTACGATCACCAGTCAAGCTGAACATTCAACCCACAACACCCACACATACTTGGAACGCTCCCATTTGATTTCGTTCCATTTCGTCTTCCCGAGAACAGCATCGGCAAAAACAACAACAGATTCGTTAGAACACAACATATAAGTAAACAAAGCATCCATGCTCATGCAAACACCGAAAGTAACATGAATGAAATAAAAAACAAAAGTGCACAACAACCTGCGTAACCACGTGGAGACAAATGCATTGTTCGTAACAACCGCCAATCTCAGCAAGCTGANTCTCTCTCTCTCTTGCATTGTTCGTAACAACCGCCAATCTCAGCAAGCTGAATACCGCTAAACATACATATGCCTCTCTCTCTCTCTCTCTCTCTCTCTCTCTCCAGCTTTTCAACCCCCAGACTTCGCTGCCCTCGTTACTTCACTGCACCCACCGCCGCCATCAAATTGCCGTCTGATACGACCAACGACCGACCAAAGCAACGCACGTCATTCTCGCTTCACCACAGGGCGCAGCCGGTGTTGCATGGCAATGTACGACGCCGCAGCTGTCTTGTACTCTTCGAAGGTGGCGACACTGTCGTSACCTTGGCGATAATAATCCACAAACATCATGGCCTCAACAGCACTCCAGTCATCGAAGGCTCCATTCTTCGCAGCCAGCACAGCAYCTATCTGTTGCAACCTGTGAGAAGTCTCTATCGCGCAGAGGGCAGAGACTACGTGGTGAGGACCAGCAGAAGACAACGATTGGATCCACGCAGGTGGCCCTGCGGGAACCTGCCGAGAAACCGGTTCCCAAGCCGAGGATCCGGCCTCAGACTCGACCGGGGGAAGAGGGAAAGGTGGGGGTGTCGGAGGGAGAAACAAACGCCGCTGCACACGATGCAAAGCAGCTGGAGCGGACAGTGGAGTGATCGGAGAGTTAGCCGCCGGCGCGCTGAGCGTCAATGGCGACTGGCCACGCGCGTCCTCCGCGGCGACGGAGTCGCCTGTTCTCTTGCGAGTTCGGCTGCGGATGTAGGCCTGCGAAACCCAGTGCGCGGGCGGTGCATATGTCGCAATCGGGCAATCTCCGTGACACGCCTTGACATAAGGACACAACGACCTGGGCGTCTCAGGCAGACGCGAAGCAATTTCATCCAGTCTAGCATACTGATAGATCTCAAACGGCACGTAATCGTCGTGAACTTTTGCGAATCTTTCACAAAGAGTCCGAACGACAAATCCAGCCCTCGTGACATGTTCATGCCTGAGGATGGCCTGGATAAGCTCATGCGAGTCCTGCAGCGATCCGTTATCGCACACTAATTCACGACGACGCGGGACAAACCTGCGCTCGATCCTCCCTCTCGCAAGCAAAAAGTCTAGCCAAATGTGTTCCGTAAGCTCAACCCGCTCTCCATCCAAGAAGAGCACGAAGAGCATCCAGTTCAGAATCGGTCTCCTACCCACCCTGCCAAGAATGTCCGTCCAAGACTCGACTATCCTTTGCGTCTTCCGGTCGAGAGCAACAGTGCCTTCCCTATCCAACCAGATAGGCAGATTGTGGTGCCTGATCTCCTGATAAACCAATTTCGTACCCGGCTGAAAACCATTGCGGCCGTACGATGGTATGATCTCCGGGCCCGTGACTATACCTTCGGAGTGCTCGGAGTGAGTTGCTTGTCTCGCCGCAAGCGAGGACGAATGGTCGGGTGTTCTCGCAACGTCCGACGTCAAGCTGGGCCCTACAACGACCTCGCGTGGCCGGATTGCAAACACTGACGCCGGCTCGAAATGTCCGCATGCCGCGCCCGTCACTATACCTTCGGAGTGCTCGGAGTGAGTTGCTTGTGTCGCCGCAAGCGAGGACGAATGCTCGGGTGTACGCGCAACGTCCGACTTCAAACTGGGCCCTACGACGACCTCGCGTGGCCGGATTGCAAACGTTGATGCCGGCTCGAAATGTTCGCATGCCGGAGCAGATTCAAGCCGTTGCAAAGCCGGACGTCGACCATGCACAGCCGGAGGCGAAGGTCGCACGTAGGGAACAAATGCCGAAGCCCCGTCCGGCTGGCACGTTCGTACGCACTTTCTACACGGCATAACCTGCGTTCCTAAGTTGGCCTTCTCGTCATCGATTTCGCACATCTCGTTACTCACCCGGTCCGCACCCCCCGTACCAGCACTTGTGCCGGCAGCGGCCACCGGAGCGGTGGAGGGCTGCACTGACCTGCCTGCCGACACATCGCATGGAGCCGACTGGCCGGCACAACCGGCAGGCGCTCCATCCCATCCAAAATCAAATCGGATCGGCGACGATCGCTCCCCCTTCAGGGAATCGTCCGACTCATCCCCCGACAAATCCCCTAGCTGCACACCTGCCTCGTATATATCCAGCAGAAGCACACCGGCCGGAGTGTGGATAGCCAGCGGGCCCCTCGCCTGCACCGGTTCGGCCCGCGCCGGATTGCAGCGTTCAGGCTCAGAGGCCGGCTCAAGCGTCGCCGGCACTTCGTCGTAATCGTACTCAAGGAAGTCACCATCCTCAGTAGAAACAGCGCATTCAAGGAGGGAGCGATTGCTGTGCGCGCGTGCAGCTGTGGAAACGGTGTCCGCTGCAGAAGCGTGCGCCGCGTTGCCAACAGAAGGTGCTGTACCCAAAGGCATTTGACACAACATGGACACACAACATACAAAAAGCCACAGGACGAAAAGGTCAGCACGCGAAGATAGACAATCCCAACAATAGAACATGTACGACGGCACAAACAACAACCGACCCCCTCCCTTGCCACGGCTGCACTCGCAAAGCCAGCTACGCCAGCAGCTCTTTGAAAACGATGTTCTTCGTTCTCGTGGAACCCGCAGGCAGCGCAACACGAATGTCGTCCAGATGCCCCGCACGCGATAGACCAACGTAGAGCTGACCATGACCGAACACAGGTTTCTCAAGATACAAACCGTCCCTCGACACACTCTGACCCTGGGACTTGTTAATCGTGATTGCAAACGCAGCACGCAAGGGGAACTGTCGCCTCTTCCACAGGAAGCCGGCCGAGTCGTCGGAGTCCAGAGTCAACCGAGGTATCACCGCGATCTTGCGGGTGGGCAGAATCGTGGCTTCGATGAGCCGTCCAGACACCGACTTGTTCACGATCAGCCGAGTGTCGTTGCACACGCCCATGTGCACACAGATGTTTCTCAGCAACATAACCGGAACCCCCTCCTTCAGCCGCAGCACGTGCGGTGGCAAGCCCGAGCAATTCAAGCTGTTGAGGTACTCAACCGGAACATTCAAACCATAGGAGTCCGTAGGCGCGCTGTCGACTAACAAGTACACGATGTCCGGCTGGGGCAGACCATCCAAAATCATATTATTGATAACGTGCGCAGCGTCGTTCTTCGGGCACAAAACAAACCTGCCGGTGAGGTAGTCGGGGTTGTGAAGATGCGGACCGAGGTCAGGAAACGTCCAGTCGATGAGAGCAGCAAGATCCAGATCCATGCATATCTCCGGTGGCAACTCAATCGTCTCGGGATCCGCGGGGTCCACGACGTCGTGCTCCCCGTCACCCACACGCAGCAGGAAAGCAGCGAACTTTCTTGCGACCTCATCATCGCCACGGCGCAGAACCCTCATGTTCTCGTCCAGCCTGTGCGTCTTGAAGCGTGCCCACAACGGCGACGATTTTATGGAAGCCCTGATTTGCTTAGCCCGGCTGCCCCTCCTCACCACCGGCAAAACTTGCCTGAAGTCGCCCGCCAGCAACAACACCTTACCACCGAAGGGCTCGTCCGATTGACAAATATCTTGCAAGGTGAGGTCCAGAGCTTCCAACTGCGCCCGGTGCGTCATCGGGGCCTCGTCCCACACTATAAGGCTGCACATTCTTGTCAGCCGTGCAAGTTCGCTCTGTCTTCGAATCGGAAAAGGTTTCTTAGCATCCGGCTGAAGAGGCGCCTGAAACCGCGAGTGGAATGTTCTTCCACCGGGAAGCAGAAGGGACGCTATTCCGCTGGACGCGACCGCCAAAGCGATGCAGTTTTCATGCCGACGAACGCCAACAAGTATCGTGTTAATGCAAAAGGTCTTTCCTGTTCCGGCGGGAGCATCGACGAAAACGCACAGGGGACTCCTGTTGAGCACAGCGGACATAACGCCATCGACCAGCTCTTTTTGCGAAGGGCGAAGCAAAGGGTAGTTTGCTGCCCACTGCCTCTCCATATCCACCCTGTCGTACATCAGCTCCTCTCGGATCAGCTCGGGCAAGCCCTCGAGGAGAATCCGAGCGCGCAACTCCTCAACAACGCATTGCGCCTCTGGGTCGGGGAACGTCAAACCAACTCCTCCCATACTCGTTTTCATGTCCAATAGTTGAACGTGAATGTCCAACAACGCCAACGATTGCAGAACCCCCGGCGCGACACGCATGCCCCTCAACTTCCTCACGTAGTCCTCGGACATGGGCTCCCAGTACTTGTAAAACAGCGCCATGGGGTCGGACACCGGGCCGTACGCAAGCAGCATCGCGAACACTTGCCTGATCTGGTGCGGCAAACTTCTCGAAACGTGCCCAACTCCCGCTGCTCCGCCGTTCTCAGGGCAGCGAAAGACGTTGCACCACGAGAATGTTCATGCCCGAGGAGTATGCGCAAGTAGAAGAGGTCCCCCTGAGCCGGGCACGCACGCTGCAGCCGGCCGATCTTAGGAAAGGCTGGGGATCTACCACCCGAGCGCCGCAATTTCCACCGCTTCTCAGGCTTGTGCCACGTGTGGGTTTCCGTGATATCGGAATACAGCGGAAAACGATCGCAGCCAGAGCGTCGAAGCTCCTCGTTCAGCTCCATCCACATAGTGAACTTTGTGCGACCCGCTCCGACGTCGACTGCAACCTCCTCGCCGCCTTCTTCAAACACGACAGTCTCGTCGCCCTCCAAGTGAAAGGCCAACCTTTCGACGGGTGGCCACTGTTGGGTTACGAGGAATCCGAAGATCCGCCAGCACGCCTCGCTCGCGCCAACGCAACGCAAGTCCCGATACTTACGAATTTCGTTGCGCGCGTGCTGTCTCTCCAACTCCGCAACCATAACCCGGTCGTTCCCTTTCAAAATGTACTTGTACAGATACTTGCAAGCGAGCACGTTAGCGCACGACTCGACATTAATGTGCGAGTTGAAACGCAGTAGCAGGTATCCGTTATATGGCACGACTCGACCGTTGTCGTACACCATGCCGCCATCGCAAAGCGTGCAACCCCCTTCATCCGGGGAGGACCGTTTGTAAACAGGATACCCTTTCCCCGCCTGGAAGGTGGTTTTTCGCGCAAACCGTTTCGGGAAGTGTTTTGTGCAGCGTTTGTTTGTCGTGCAGGCGGCGGACGGGTTCCCAACGCCACACATCTGATGGATCATGAACTTCGACACCCTCTCGCGAAGCTCTCCGTCCGGCGGTATCTCGGAGGATATGACTTCATCCACAGCATCCGGATTGGACAGTTTTTTCCCTCTATCGAGTATCACCAGAATGTGTGCATGAGGAAGACCCCGTTTTTGGAACTCGACGGTGTAAAAGATCGCGCTCACCACTCCAAACACGCGCTTGTCCTTTATTTCATGTATCAGCTGCTTCAGGTGACCGCGAAACACACGCGCCAACACGTCCGGCCTGTCGCTGGGAACCTGACCCGGCAGCAGCGCATCCAAGATTTCAGGCCAGTTGTTGTTGCAAGTCATTGTAATGAACAGATCGGGTCTCCCGAGCTTTTGAACAATGGCCATGGCATCGTAATACTTCTCGGCCATGTAACGGGGCCCGCCCGTGAACGTCGAAGGCAAAAAGACCTTCGTCCCCATGTCGTCGCCATGTTCATTCTCGTGCACAGCTCTCCGCAGTTCCTTGTACCGTTCGCATCGCATTTTCTCCTGGTTAAACTCCAAGTAGTTCAAGCGATGAGTCTCGACCTTGGCGTATGCCATGCAGCAGTACTCCTGAAGCAATCGCTTCGCGCAAACGAGGGTGGTACGCTCCCCACACCTCTCATGCAAATGGAAGGCATAGAATTGTCTCGTGGTCATGCTTTCGGGGTTGCCTTTCGAAGGGTCGGGCCGACTGTCCCAACCATCCTCGCCACCCGGAAACAAAAGCACATAATGCAAAGGGTCGTACGCCCTGTTGTCATCGGCAACCTTTCTTACCACAGAGCCTCCGCTGCCCTCCGCCCGACAACGCACCTCCACCTCGCTCGGCAACAACTGGTCCGGAATCAGCACGCACAACTCTAACAGGCCTTCCGGTCTGTTGTACCGCCGTTCGTGCTCACCGCGTGGCCGCGCGTGGGGGTTAATAACGATCCTCACCCCATCACGCCGAGCAGCAGGCATTTCGTGATACGTTATAAAGTCGCGCACATACGGATTGCACTACAGCAGAAGTCCGTGAAGGCGAGCAAGCAACTGCCGAATTGCTTGGATCTCGCGCTCCGTAGTGCTCTCGCGAAGGTGCATCGTGTCCACTCGCATGTCCGTAACAGCGTCAACGTCAGCAGGGTCGTAAACGTACATCTGTGCGAACTGCGGCCTCTCGCCGGGCCCCGGCTCCAACGGCCCAAGACAATGGTGCACAGGCCCTTGGATCTTCAACTGCCCTTCGAATCCTCGCAATCCCTGCTCCGCTTTCCTCATATGCGCAGACACGAGGCACAACGCGTTGTTGAACCTACGCGAATTCGCCCTCAAAAGCATGCCCTCGCGAGAGTCCTCTGTCCATAGCGACAGCACCAAGTGCGCCGCACTTCCTTCCTCCGGCATCTCCCACAATTGGCACTTCGCCCTGCCTCCTTTACAACAAATCGTTTTCCACGCATGTTCATGCGGCCAAAGCAGAGCACCGCAATGCGCGCAAGGCGAACGTTCCCCGAGACTGTACGCATCCACCGTGCCCTCGTTCCGAAAGATCTGCACACAGTTCGAGATCGCGCAACGGTAAGCAGCAAAAGGCAGCATAGGCAAACGCGGCGGTGCCACACGAGCGACCTCCTCGGATGCGCCACCCACGGACCCCAAACGTAACCCGCCTACGTCCAACCCCGAACGGCTTCCGGCATCAATCCCGAGTTCGTCGGCCCCCTCGCCCCGTCCCTCAACCGCAGACGCATGTCCCTCCAAGTCCGAACGGCGGTCGGAAGCACACACCTGCGCGCTCGAGCGTCGCAATGCTCTTTCCGATACACCGACCTCGCTTCCAACCCCAACGTTCCCGTCCCCCCTCCGCCTTCCCTCTCCCCGACTATGGCAACCCGCAGGCG